CAGCGGCTTCAATCTTGTCAGAAAAAATGTAAATGTAAAATTGAAGTTTATATTCAATTTTTTAATCAGTTAATTCAGTAAAGGTTATTTTTATTCTTTTTCTGCTCAGTTTTTTAAACCGAGCAGATTTTCATCTGATCAATCATGAAGTTGACAATCAACGAGCTACCAAATGAAATTTTACTTATGATATTTTACCATATTTTTCAAGACAAGATAACTTTATATAATTTACCAACCACCTTATCAATCAAATTGGTTTCTAGAAGATGGCATTACCTCTATCGTTCATTGTTCAAAACTCACGGAACCAAATACATTTTTACATATACTCTCGAAGATTATAATCCTTTAAAAAAAACAGAATATTATTATTATTATTACAATGGAAAGATAATTTTAAAATATGATAACTATGAACTTCTTCCTCTTTTTTCTTTTAATCAAAAGACAAAGAAATTTGTTGTTGTTGGATCTATGTGAAGATATTATAGTAGTCACGATCTATACGATTATTTTACTTCAGATTCTTTTCATATCTGCTCAGTTTAAAACTGAGCAGATTTTTATCTGCTCAATCACATTATTATCCAATAATGAAGTTGACAATCAACGAGTTACCAAACGAGATTCTACTTATAATATTTCTTCAACTTTTCCAATCTAATAATATAACGTTGGTCAATTTACCAACAACTTTATCTATCAAATTTATATCACGCAAGTTCTACTATCTTTATCATTACTTTTTCAATTTATACGGAACCAAATATGTTTTGTTAAATACGGGTCCGGTTGAGATTTACAACATCATAAAAAAAGATGATTATTATTTTCTATTTGAGAAAAGAGAAAATCAATTAATCAGAAGTAGTCATTTTTTAATTTACAAAGAAATTGAATTCATATATATTCCTAAAAGTAAGTTCTTAATCTCCCCAGAAAATAAGTATTTATTAAAAATCCTTTCAATTGAAGACTATGAAAGATCGAAATCACTTTGTTCATGGTGTTCGAAAAGATCGTATTGTATTTTATTTGATGTTTGGTTCAAGGATGAATTTTATGATTGTAAAGTTGAAGGATGTGAAACGAGAAATCTAAAATATCATTGTCACAAGATTTGCAAGGATTGTTATGAAATCTATTTTATAAATTTTGATGATAAGTTTGCGGATTCAATCGAAAAACAGAATAAATATCTTTTTGGTTAATTTACTTTTCTACTCAGTTGTCTAACCGAGTAGAAATTTATCTATATAATCATGTTTTTACGTTCCGATCTGATCGAATCTGAAGAATCTAATATATTTTTTATCTACGATGCGATCGACTCTTTCAATTTAAAGAAAAGATATTTGTTAACTTTACACACTGTTCGAGCTGATAGAACCAAATTTAGGATTAATATATATAAGGAAGATATAGTATTTTTCGATATAAAAATAAAATCTGAAGAACTGATATCAGAATATAAAGAAGAGTTTCTACCAGATTATTATGAGTTGATAGTAGCACGACCTTTCGATTCAACAGAAGAATATCGGTTCCTTCATTTATTTTATCTGTCTCTTAAGGATCGTAAGAAAGCCTTAGACAAAATTTTTGAAAAAGAAAATGAGATAAAGGAAAAATATGAAGAAAAAGAAAAAGAATTAAAAAGATCTTTTTCAGATGAAAGAAATCGTGAATTACTCGAGTTTTTTGAATAGTACGATACATATTCAGATGCTAATTCGTGTTATTATCGAAAAGTGGCATATGAGAAAAACTTTAGACTCGTTGGATGGTACAGAATAGATTCATCATTTTTTTATGATGATATGACAATATCGTTTGATCAGATTGAAAAAATAGAATATTCAGAATCACCAAAACTTCTTTTACTTTATTGGGATATTGAAACAATCTCTTCG